AATTCCGGTTGGGTTGCGCCCCGTATTTAAGGAATCGGTCGTGTGCGAGACGCACGTTTAAATTTTTTTTTTTTTTTTTTTTTAACCCGGATCGTTTTATAACGAAATCGAATCACGCGTCACCGTGAACACTGAACTGAGCTTTTTGTCGGGTCCGTACTTGGTGAAAAATCGAATAGAACCCAAGCGTAACTTTCAAGACGCGGACACGTGTTGAAAAAGAACTGCACAAAAGTCGATTCTATGTGGGTCCCGGCATTAGATTAAAAATAAATAACCGCATGTTAGTAAGGATTCACCTTACAATATATCATTTTTATAACATGCTTCGCACCGCCGGCACTCGTGCCGCATGATTCGCGTGTCCAAGGAGGCTTGATATCGGTCCATCCCGATCCCTCCGCCGCCGTCTATCACGGTCCGGTTTCGAGTCTCACCGATTATCGCGAGCGACGACTTCGATGGGACGTACAACGGTGACTCGACAGTTTTCATTTTTCTTCCAATTCATTCCTCTTTTTTTTTTTTTTTTGACTTTTACTTTTCTTCGCGTCGCGCTGCCGCTTTGACCTGTGCACGTGTTTTAACTTGCGGTCGCATTTTGTTTTTCTGCTAATCAACGTGTGTACGCCTTTTCGTCGTCGTCGTTTTACATTCAACATAAGCGCGTCCTCGCCGCCACCGTAATTAATTAACGCGTGTGCGCTTTCGCCGTCGCTGTTCGAAACGGCCGGTACGTTCGTGTGTGCTGTTTCACCATTGCTTGTCTGCAACTCCCATCTCATAGTGTCAAGAACGATGTCCATGATTTCCATCGTCGGGTGATAGTCAAATCACTAATTATTATTTTTTTTCAATCTAATTATCATTGTAAAAAGTCTATGATCAGCGAATGAGCTCATTTATATTATAAATATTTGTTAATTTAATATTATTCCGGGGTGCCTCGTGAATTCAATATTTGTATATTATTATTATTAAGCGCAACGCGCATCCATCGTATGCCTTGTTGTTGTTTTTCAATCATTAACGTCGAATCGTACGATAGGTCTTCAATATACCTAACCCGCGACCAAACGCGAGTCTTGGTGGTTAACTGCCACTGCCGTAAGAGCCGCCACGGCGTTGACAATTATAGAAAACGAAAACCAAGCGAAATCCCAACGCGGAACAACTTTCGTAAACGGCAGAGCACAAGGAATATTCAACGGTATGGCTTTTGTCTGGTGTGGGTTATGATCGGGGACCCCTGGCATTTGTGGTTTTCTCTAGATTCTCACAAGCTTAATTTCAGAAATGTTCACAAAATTTGAATAAATTATTTTATGCAACGGAACGGAATGTTTTCACACAAACTTTTGACCGTAAATATTTTTGAGCCTCTTCTTATTTTCCCTTTTGGTTCCGTGCACCCAATATTGAAGGATACATATTGGCCGTCAACATCACTGACGGCATAAAGTTACGGACTTGTTCTTCGATCCACGTCGCACACCGATTGAAAGGTGGCGAAGGGACGAAAGCTGCGAGATGATCGTTTTCCGTCCAATTGTAATTGTACGTTCTGCGCCCGGGGTCGGCAAATCATGTCCATCGGTGACCGGAGTGTGTTCTTTGGTGTCCAATAAACGATAAACGAACGATATCCAAGGGAAAAAAATAAGCGCTTTATCGCTTACCTACCGTAGTATAAAACATTACGAACGTCGGAAAACTTGCCGAACGGTTTTCAGCGCGTCGAATCGAATTGGACATTCGATTGGATTTTCAACGGTAGCGTTGTGCACGGTTTGGGAAATCGAATCAACGCGCCGAATTACGGTAAACGGGGCCCGTCGTGCGCGTCAGTCCCTTAACGATCCGGTCGGTCGATTCGGTGACGGGTCGTCCGTCTCCCGTTCGCAGCGTGTTGCGCTTACACGGACACGATTGTCGCCGACCCCGTTGTCGTATCCGACCCGTTCCGACCGATTGTGTTCGCGTACGGACCGGAAAATGTTTGCCGTACATGCCGACCGATCGATCGTTCGCGTAATAACATCGTTTTCACCAATCCGAGAGTCGTACGACGCGCTCAAAACGTTGTGTCTTCGAACGCGTTCTTGCACCTGACGAGCACCATGATCGCGTACGTTCGTCGAGTTGATTCGACTTGACGATTCGGTCGTTCCTGCACTGCTCGCATTCCATTTGCCTGTCAATAAACGCGATTGTTTATGATCTATGTCGTTTACCGACAACCGATGGCGATTCGCGAGTAAAAACGATCGCCGTACCCGACGATCAAACATCTTCTGCGCGACTTGTACAGCATCGCGGTTGACGATTATTCGCTGAGTACACGCGATTCGTGCGGGACCGGCTTAAGACGGGATGCGTGCGTTTGCGTAGTACGCGTAGTACGCGTACAAGTAATGGAAATTGATTTGAAGAACGATCGTTTTAAACTTTGGACCCTTAACGACGCGTAAATTAGACTCTCTTAACAATAGTGTACGTGAATAACGCTTTTTATTCTTCTTTATTTCTTCCGTAAAA